ACTGCTGAAAGGAACAAAGCTGCCCTGGATTCGGTTTCTAATGGGTCCTGGGCATTTAGTTGGGGGTTTCTGTGAGCTGTACACTTGAACTCTCCGGTATAACCTGATCTTTCTTGCCGCACGCTGCCTCTTGGCCTCGTGTGGGGCTTCTCAGTTTTCCCGAGACAGAAGCCGATTGAACACTGCAGGCTCCGCGAGTGCGTTGAGAATGATCAGATTGCTTCGCTCTCCTCACCATAAGATGGGAGACCATGGAAGTAAAACTACTTTGTGAAAGCTGTGGTCTAGAGGCTTAGTAAAAACTATTTGGATTGGAATTGACTTGCACCTTCAGGAAATTAGGGATGTGGTCAAATTAGGGATGTAGACAGCTCTCTAAGGTAGGAGAGTGGGTAAGAAAATAGTATTTTGTAACTTGACTATTTTCGGTTGACATTTTCCCTCTGCACACTGTAGTGACCTTGGGTACATCAGAAAACTTGATTGGGCCCGGCTGGCGTGGCTCAGCGGTTGAGCATCGGCCTAGGATCCGGGAGATCGCAGTTCGATTCCCGGTCAGGGCATATGCCAGGGTTGCGGGCTTGATCCCCCAGTGCCGGGAGTGCAGGAGGCAGCTGATCAATGACTCTCATCATTGATGTTTCTATTTTTCTCTCCCTTCTTCTCTCTGAAATCAATAAAGGTATTTAAAAGAAAAAAAAGAAAACTTGATTGCTACTTTTTCCTGTTTTCTTGGGGGGGGAGGGATTGTTAACAGGATTGAAGTAGGAAACAGTTGTCCTGTTACAGAAGTATTTAGATACGTAATATTTTTGTTCTGTGCTTAAATGTGAGTTGGGAATACTAGATGCTGATTCAGTTGTTTTTGAGCTGGGGAGTTTGACCTTATTGACAAAAATATTTTAGGTGATTTACAAAAGTTGTTTTTTTACTGTGAAAATCTAGGCACTCTAAGGTACTTGCTGGCCCTGCTGTTCTCCTCCTCTCCCCCCTCAGTTTTGGATATAATAAACTCAGTATGTTTCACAAGAAAATCCAGAATTAAATTTTGTCATTGATATGAAATATATTCCAAAAGTCTAAATATAGCATAGCACCCTTTAATTTGTCTTTGATGGAATGTTCTTTGTTGAGTAATGGTGTGCTTCTAGCCTGTGCTGAAGATTGTTGGATAGGGAAGAACACCTTGGCTAATTCTCCCCTAAGGCGAGGCATTTATTTGCCTCTGGTAATGTACTTATTTATAATGGAGCTAAATTAGACAACAATGAAAACTAGTTAAAAGATCTTCACCCTGGCTGATGTGGTTGGAGTGTTGTCCTGTACACCCAAAGGTGGCGGGTTCAATTTCCAGGCAGGGCACATACCCAGGTTTTGGGTTTGATCTCTGGTTGGGGTGCTCTGTGGAAGGCAACCAATGGGTGTTTTTCTTTCCTCTCTCAAGAAAATCAATTTAAAAATATATATATATCCTCTGAAGCCTTTTGAAACTTGTGTGTGTGCCTTCTGTATGCTTTCCCAGATGAGCACTGCATGGAAAACTGCAATGACTTCAAGTGGTCCTGATCTTCCACTAGAGCAATCTTCTGAATGGGAATAAAGATATTGCTTGTTTTCTTTGATTTTCTCCACTGCCTTTTTAATTTAGATTCTTAAAGCTAGGAAAGACCTTGACCTACTCTTTACAAGTCAGTCTGCGTATACACAAGTATGAGTTCTGAGAGCCCTGCAAAAGTTTTGTAATCTACCTACTACCCAAGCTTTGCCCAGTGATTTTAGGATAAACCAGAATAGTTGCAGGGATAGGAAAAGATTCCAGGTATAAGGTTTTCATTATATTTTTGTATCATTTCCAAATGATATGAACAATGAACCTCATATACATTAAGCATGCCCCTGTGTTAAGAAATAAAGTCTTTACTTTCTTAATTACCATGTAATTCCACATCAAGTATTATAGGATAGGGAAATCAGTCAGAGGAGGCTTCACAGAGATGGCCCTTGAGCTGAGCCTGGAAAAAATGAGGATTTCATGAACAGAGGAAGAACGTTAGTGGGTAAAGGCAGGGTTTGGATTGTTTCATTTTGGAGAAAGTAGAGGGCAGTGAATGTCTAAATGGAGCCTCAAGTGGGCAGAGGAAATTCGCTATATGTGAGCTCAGAACTTGAAACTGGGGCCTCTTTTCTAAATTGAGGTGAGCTTTTCAGTAATAACAAACAAGTGTCTTATTTTTATTCCAGGTAAAATGGGGTAGCAGCTTTGAGTGTATTATAAATAGATGAGAGTGTATTTTGGTTCCTATCTCCCGGTCTCCCGGGTTTCGAGACACCCCAAAGGAGCTTAAGACCTCCAGATAATTACTATTTTTAAAAATTAAATAGAAATTAGCCCTAGCTGGTTTGGCTCAGTGTTAGAGTGTTTGGCCCGCAGGCTGAAGAGTCCTGGGTTTGATTCCAGCCAAGGGCATGTACCTTGGTTGCAGGCTCAATCCCTGGTCCCCCTCACAGCTGGTGCAGGAAGCAATTGATGTCTCTCTCGAATTGATGTGTTTCTTGTCTCTCTCTCTTTCTCTCTCTCCCCCCTTCCACTCTGAAAAGCAATGGAAAAAATATCCTCGGGTGAGGATTTAAAAAAATTAAATAAAAAATTAATAGAAATTAATGCCACATTTAAAGAAAATAGGAATAAGATTGAATTTTAAAGACTCAGTTGAAAACATTTCAGATCCTCCTTCCATTTCACGTCCAGAATACACGGGGCTCTGTTTTGCTTACCTTAATTTTCATTATTAATGTGAGCGACTGAATAGTTATTGTTAAGAACACCAAAGATATACAAAGTGCTCATATGAATAAAAATCAAGGTAATATTTGGTTTGTTTCTTACAGTATATTATTGGCATTGGTGGTGACATCTTGAATAAGCCAAGTAAGAGTTGTTTGGCTTTTGGATATGGCCCTTTAACCGAACTTGCTTATAGACAGGATAGTGTTATTACAACTAGGATGGAAAGCTTCTCTCCCATGCTTTTAGAGCACTTAAATTAGAGTAATTTCAGTTGGAAGAAAATTCATTAAGCGGTTTGTTTAAATAGAAGACTTTCCTATATGTGAGGTAATTTTGAAAGAACTACTCAAATTTGCTGTATATAAAACTAATAACTTTGGTGGATATCATAGCATTGTGTTCCTCACAGGTCTGAGGTTACAATAGGAATTGCCTAGGTCACAATTTTTTCCCTCTGACTTGATTTCTTTTATGTTATATGCTTAATTTTGTGTCTGGGGATTGAAATAGAAATAACATCTGTTTTCTCAGTAAAAAAAATGTACTTAGATTTTAATTATACAAAATCGTAGTTACATGTTTTAATGTAGACTTGCAATCACTCAATCTCATCATCATTTAGATCATTTATTTAAATATGTTGTCACTCTGTTAAAATTAAAACTAGAAACCTTGAGGAATGGCTGATTCAGATGAGAATTAAACTCATAAGCTGCTTTTTCCTAGAAAAGGGTGATTAAACTTGGTTCAGGGTGGGGCCTTCTAGCTCTGGCTCTAGTGATTGGGTTAGTTCAGTTCTGGTGCAGCCGTAGTGATAAACATTTTGTGCCAGATGGGGCAAGAGATTGTGCTTCTAAGAATATGATCTATGTATTGGCTCTGGTCTTGAAAACTACAGAATTAAATAAAATGTGTTAATAGGTTTTGATAGACTTTTCTAATTCCAGTTTATATAATACAATCTGCATATATCTCACAACTTGCTTTGTGCCATGTGAGTGTTAAATGTGCTGTAAAGTGTACTTGCAGTATTGGAAAAGCTGTAAAATAGATAGCATGACAAATGTTCATTTTATATATCTCAACATACTGTCACTTTCAAGTGTCTAGATGCACTCAAACCAAATTAGAAATCCAGATTTCAGTTAATACCAATACTTTAACTTAAATAGGACTCTCTGTTGGTTATAGAGGTATATTGCTTTGAAAAAGTTAAGATTAATTTTTTAGTATTTCTGGAGATGAGAACACAGTTTCCACAAACCAGTAACACATTGAACTTCATTTTTAGATTACCAATTTTCAGCCTTGAACAAGTCACTTAACCTCTCAGATAATTGGCCTCTTCATCTAGAAAATAGTATACTCTGTTTTTCCTTTTGTGTATTCTTTTTGCATCAAAAGCTCTATCAAGTCATTTATAGGAACTTCATTTAATCAGAAGGATCAGGTTTTTCCTTTCTTTTGGAGATGCTTTCTTAGTGATCTATGTAGCATGATCCATCAGTGAGTCTTGACTTAATTGTCCTTTGGCTTTTTTTTTTCTCCAGGTACCAGTCTATTGTCTTTTGTATTTGTCCCTTTGACTAAATTCAGTTACTTAAACCTACTTACCATGGATGACAGTCTTACTAGTTTTCCTCATATTTTTAATTTGGAAAAATGTTAAGCCTGCAGGAAAATTTGAAATAGTAATATGCCTATCCATTGTACCCTTTACCTAGACTCATCAATTGTTAAGTTTTCACATTTGCATTATTTCTTATATACTTTTTAAAAACTGAACTATTTGAAAGTAAGTTACAGACATTACAATACTTCATCCTTAAATTTTTAACCATTAAGCTCCTAAGAACAAGGCTCTCTCGAAAAACACAATACCATTGTCACACTCCCCAAATCTAACATTGATACAATACTGGTTTCCGGTATATAATTTACATTCAAATCCTGTATTTCTCCCAATAATGTCCTTGAAGTTGTCCCCACCCCCACCCCACCACACCTCAATTCCAGATCTAATCAAGGATTACACTAAATTTAGTTGTCATGTAAACTAAATGTCTCGGTGAAAGGCCCTTTCTAGAAAAGTGATAATATTTAAAAGTATATTTGATACATAATAATCTATTGTGGTAATGGAAGGCTTTATTATTATGATACAATGGCATCTGTCTCATTACCATAATTCTCTATTGTATTACCAGGCTCTTCTGTGTGGCAGCTCAGAATGATGGATCAAGCCAGATCAGCATTCTCCAACTTGGTAAAATATTTTAAGTTTATATTTCTGTCACCAGTTTTTTTGTTTTGTTTTTTATATTTTTATTGATTTCAGAAAGAGGAAGGAGAGGGAGAGAGAGAAAAACATCAGTGGGAGAGAGTCATTGATCGGCTGCCTCCTGCACTCCCCCTGCTGGGGATCAAGCCCGCAACCCGGGCATGTGCCCTGACCGGGAATCGAACCTCAATCTTCTGGATCATAGGTCCATGCTCAACTGCTGAGCCATGCTAGCTGGGCTCTGTCACCAGTTTGTAAGAATATGAAGTATACAATAATGACTTACACCAAGTAAATATGAAATAATACCCAAGGCTATTAGGTCTTCATTTACATTTGAAAGGATGATCTTGAGGCATAACTCATCCCACAAAAGAATATACTTAGTCTTGAGTAGAATTAATTATGGAAAATCTTGTCAAATTTTAGGGCATTTGGGGCATGGTGGAGGGGGGCTGCTAAGTAGATCAGAAGAACTAAAGAAAGCACAGATCAAAATACATATGAGTAGATATACATAACAGAAACTCTGAGTGAAAAGGCAGAATGAGATGAAAAAGACCAGTGTATTATCTGGCCCTCATCTGCTGCCACTGACAGAACTGGGCACAAAGAAGAATATTGGTTTGAAAGGGAAATTTTATTTCCTTAAGAACATATAGCAAGTTATAGTAATGGCCCAATAATATGTATAGTACCCAAACAAACTTTTTTGTTAACGCTCCTTTTCCATAATGCTTTCTTTCTCTTGTTTTAAAAAAATCTTAGTTTGGTGGAGAACCATTGTCGTATACCCGGTTTAGTCTTGCACAGCAAATAGATGGCGATAACAGTCATGTGGAGATGAAACTAGCTGCAGACGAAGAAGATGTTGACAATAACAAGAGGGGTAATCGTGTCCAAGTTGCAAAACGAAAAAGGTTTAATGGATTTATCTGCTGTGGGACTATTGCTATAATCATCTTTTTCTTGATCGGTAAGAGTCCTGTTCAAAACTTAAATGTTCCTTGTCACCAACTCTAGGAAGTTGTTAATTCAATTCAGCAAACATTCATATTGTACCTTTTTATGTGCCACTGTGCTAGGTACTAGGAACGCAATCGTTAAGATTCTATACCTGTCTTTGAGTTTAGCCTGGTCAGAGAAAAAGACATGAATCATTTCAGTGTACTGTGCAAATGTTAGACTAGAAATATGTACAGGATATTTGTAGCATAGAAGCTTGGCCTAAGGATTCAAGGAAGTCTTCTGGGAAGAAAAGATACCTATGCTTTGAAAAGGTAACTGTTTAAAGTTATTATGTAATTTATTAGATTAAATGGTATAAAATATAGAACATATATATTAATTCCTTTCAAACTGCTTTAAATTTGATTAAAACCAGTATTTTCAAGACTTAGCCGAAAATATTAACAATCCCTATAGGAATAGATTATTATTATTATTATTATTATTATTATTATTATGTCTTTATTGAGTTCAAAGAGAGGAAGGGAGAGAGAGGTGGAAACATCAATAATGAGAGAGTCATTGATCCACTACCTCTTGCATGCCCCCCACTGGAGATCAAGCCCGCAACCCGGGCATGTGCCCTGGCAGGGAATCGAACCGTGATCTCCTGGGTCATAGGTCGATGCTCAACCACTGAGCTGAGCTGGCCAGGCCCTATAGGAGTAGATTATAAATAAAATTCTGTGAATTCAGCTCTGTAATTTTTCATCCTTAGGATTTATGGTTGGCTATTTGGGCTATTGTAAACGTGTAGAGCCAAAAGCTGAATGTGATAAAACAGAGTCTCCGGAGACAGAGGAAACAGAAGAGTACTTCCCTGAAGTACCTTCCCACTTATTTTGGACAGACCTCAAAGCAATGTTGTCAGAAAAACTGGATACCACAGACTTCATCAACACAATCAGGTAAGCCTGAGCTACTTCACAAGTTCAACCTCAATACCTGAACAAAGCTGACAGTCTAGAGGAAAGGCTTTTTAGAGTAGGGAGACTTCCCATGTTTTTTAGAGGGGAAGGAGTTAGTAAAGAACTAAAAGTATGTTTGTTTTTTAAAAATCCTTACTCTAGGATAGTTTTTCTTTTCAGAGAGAGAGAGAGAGGGAGAGAGAGAGAAATACTGATGTGAGAGAGACACAATTGGTTACCTCCTGCACATGCTCCAATCAGGGCTGGGGATGGAGCCTGCAACTGAGGTACGTACCCTTGGCCAGAATTAAACCCTGGACCCTTCTGTCCGAGGGCTAACACTCTAACCACTGAGCCAAACCTGCTAGGGCAGAATTCAAACTATTGATAGGGAAAAAAGGTAGAACTTTTGTGGGGACTCTGCTTTTTCTTAAAAAAATTCACAAGTCCTTAATCTTTTTGTCATCTGGTTCTTTGTCTCTTGTTGCTTGCTATCAGACTTTCTTTTGCTCTGATTTTCCATCCTAACCCTTTTATTTTTTTAAATATGTCTTTATTGATTTCAGAGAGGGAGGGAGAGAGAGAGAAACATCAATGATGAGTCATTGATCGGCTGCCTCCTGCACGCCCCCTGCTGGGAATTGAGCCTGCAGGCTGGGAGTGTGCTGTGACCAGGAATGAAACCTCTTATCTCCTGGGATCATAGGTCCCCTCTGCTGAGCCACCCCCTGCTGGGCTGGGCTTTTTTTTTTAATTGACACTAGCCTTTTTTTAAGTCATGCTGAGCTCTCCTACTCTCCACAAAGGCATCAGTAGCCTTCTTCATCCTCTAGATCAAGACTAACTTGACTGCCCAACTTACATGTCCAGTATTCCTTGATTTTTTTCTGGTTCTCACTCATTAATCCATGCCCTAAGAAGTGTTCTTAAGGTTTCTGTCCTTAGATTTTTTTAAAAATTTATTTTAGATAGAAACATCAACTGGCTGCCTCCTGCACTCCCCCTCCTGGGGATGGAGCCTGCAACCTGGGCAGGTGCCCTGACTGGGAATCACCTGTTAACTTTTGGTGCACTGCACACACCTAACCAACTGAGCCACACCGGCCAGGGTGATCCTTAGATTTTTAGTATCTTCCTTAGCCTCATCTAACTCAGTATAAAGAACAAATTCATCTTTTACCTTATCTGATGAATACTTTTGTGTATTCTGTGTACCAGGCATTATGGATGAAGTGAGAGTATAGTCTACCATAAGGAAAGATCAAATAACTAATATGCCGTATATATTTGCAAATAGCCATGGTAGGTCAGGATTAGCAGTTTTACTTCTAGGGGATTCACGGTGCTTCAAAGTAGGTGAAAGTTGAAGCTGTAATCTTGAGTTCACCACAGTAATACTATCTCATTTTTCTCAAAAAAGATCTTCTGGAATCTGCTCATTTCCCCTAAAACTATTCTGGACAGATATATTATATTGGGATGGGGCTCTTGAAGGAGTACTTTACAGTTGATAAAGTGGTTTAAACACTTTTGAAGTCATAAGTTTCTTCAGATATTGGGCAGTTTTTTTCTCCTAAATTGATCTCTATCTGGCCAGTCCATCACTGTTAATTTATAATTCTAATGGATAGTATTAAGTTATGCTTTTAAAACAATTTATTTGTTGGAAACTAGACTTTTGGTTATGAATATGCTGTAGTGCATACAGATATCAAATTATAATGGTGTATACCTGAAATTTATGTAATGTTATTAACCAATGCTATCTCAATTTCAAAAAACCAATTTGCTTGATGTTTGAGTTTGATGTTTATTTTAACTAACATTTTTTCCTCCAGGCAGCTAAACAAAGGTCCTCATGAGGCTGGATCTCAAGAAGATGAAAACCTTGCTTATTACCTTGAAAATGAATTCCGCAAACTTAAACTCAGCAAAGTCTGGCACGATGAACATTTTGTTAAGATTCAGGTCAAAGGCAGGTATGTTGAAAGATGATAAACTTATTTTACAGAAGTAGCTACTTTTAGTTATAAATATAGCAAAGACTAAATGTATTAAAGCCATTTAATTTTTTCCCCCCAATGGTGATCTTACCTTCATTTTAACTTAATCTTTTTAACAGTGCTCAAAACTCAGTGACCCTCATAGGTGGGGGCAGTGGGCTCTACCTGGTGGAGAATCCTCAGGGCTACGTGGCGTATAGTAAGGCTACGACAGTTACTGTGAGTAAGCCAAACAGTGCATGATTTTTCTTCTTCTCTGTTGAATAGCTCAGAAACTCATTGTCTTTACTGTTCTTAGGAGTTGTAGTAAAATTTACTTGTAAAATATAACTGATCATGAGATATTTTTGTTCTTAACCCTTCTATGCCATGGTAAAATAAAATTTACAAAATCCTCCTCTTGGTTGGCAAGGCCCTAAGTAATCCTGCTGCTCTTGTCTCTCAGTCTTTTCTCACCACTCTGATCTCCCTTCTGTTCCTCAAACACTCAAATTCAAGCACACTCTCACTTCAAGGCCTTTATAAAACTTGCCTTTTCCTTTACCAGGACCACTCTTTCCTAAATATCAGCATGGCTTGTTTCCTCACTTTATGCAAGTCTCTTCTCTAACATTACATCCCTTGTATGCATAACCCATGGACACAGACAATAGTGTGGTGAAGGCCTGGGGGGTGGAGGGAGTCAGTGGGGAAAAAAGGGACATCTGTAATACTCTCAACAGTAAAGATAAATTTAAAAACAACACGCACACAAAAAACACCACATACATGTATGTCAGGGGTCTGTCTAGTGGATGCCTTTTTAGCTAGATAAAGTTTTATGGTTAATCTCTGTCTTCCTGCTTGCTTGTGCTATATCACTTTCCCTGGCTATCCACAAACTAGGGGTTTAGAGGTGGGTGGAAAGAACATTGAGGATTTTAGTTCCCCTGCAAGCGTTCTCTATTTAGATATTTGTTTATTCATGTCAGTTTATATCTGCACATCTGAACTCTAATAAGTTGAGGAACGTTTTGATGACAACTTACATAAACATCTAAAAGTGGGTCTATGCAAGTCACTTTATTATAATTGACTATTTTTGGATACATTTGTTGTTAGAACTTTCAGTTATGACCTCAGTTGTCTGGGGTTCAAGTGCAGGAACATTATGTAATTGGTGCTGCCATGGCTAGCCTACAGTATTTATATTGGTCTGTGTCTTTGTTTAACATATCCTGTTATCCTTTCTCTTCCCCCAAGATGTCTGAAACACTGTAAAATAGGTTAAATGTAAAGAGATCAGTGAATGTTAAAGACAGCATTGCCCTTTTTTCCCCTGTCTTGGGTTTGATCTGTGAAACCAATCTGCCTTAGACTCCATGGCTGTTCTAATGCCATAATGCTCATTAAATCTAATGTCTTTATTTTAGGGCAAACTGGTCCATGCTAATTTTGGCACTAAAGAAGACTTTGAGTCTTTAAGCACTCCTGTGAATGGATCTTTAGTGATTGTTAGAGCAGGGAAAATCACTTTTGCCGAAAAGGTGAGTATGAGTTATTAAATACATGCCTGTCATATCCTTCTCGATTAAATGGTATTATTTTATTACATTCTGAAAACCAGCAGTCATACCTGATAATATAATTTAATTTATTAAAGTACTCAACAAATCCCAATTATCTCAAGTTATGGGGTACTTCAAAACTATGACATATCCACTTTGATTATTTTGTAGCCATTACCTTTCAGTGAAAATGAACTCATCAAAAATGTTTAAGTGAAAACATTTTAAATTGTGTCTGTGTAACTGAGTTTTATGTATATATAGAATTCAGTTATGACTAGGTTTTATAAAAAGGAAAATTAAAAGTCACACCTACACAAGGAATTAGAATGGAACATAGCAAAAGACAGTGATTATCTTGGATGGATTTTTATTATTTCTCTTTTAAACTCTTCGTAGTGAGCTTTAAGGCATATATTTTTCCTAAACATAAAAGCTATTTGAAACATTTGGGAGCATAGGTATGATCTTCTGTAGCCCTTTGTCCTTAAGCATAAAGTCCAGTATGTATTATTCCAGTTTTATATGATCCGATCTTCATATTCTGAGCTTTATGTGTTTTTCTTTAGGTTGCAAATGCTGAAAGTTTAAATGCAATTGGTGTTTTGATCTACATGGACTTTACTAAATTTCCCATTGTTAACGCAGATCTTCCAGTCTTTGGACATGTGAGTTCTTATTTCTTGAGCAAATGAATTTTTGGGGTTCTCAAAATTATTGCTAGATTTCACTTACATTAGTAGAAATAGAACTGTGTCTTCCTTAAATACTTTATTTTTTCTGGGAGTTTTAGCAGTAAGCAAGGAGGTGGATCATACGACTTTGAGACCTAGTCATTACTTTTTGCTAAAAGTGCTTTATCAGTATAGTAGTCCCTCCTTATCTGCAGTTTTGCTTTCAGTTTTCTACTGTCAATTGTGGTCTGAAAATATTAAATGGAAAATTCCAGAAATAATAAGTTTTAAATTGTGCAGTTTTCTGAGTAGCATGATGAAATTTTGAGTTATCCTACTCCAGCCTGGGGCTGGAACCATCCCTTTCTCCAGAGTATCAACATATTGTACACATTACACACTCGTTAGTCACTAAGTAGCCGTCTCAGTTATCAGATTGACTATCATGGTATGGAAGTGCTTATGTTCAAGAAAGCCTCATTTCACTGAGGCATCTCAGGGAAGGTGGGGAGGGGGGAGTGGGCAGGGAGAGATTAATCAAAGAATTTATATGTTTCTAAGCATAACCCATGGACACAGACATTGGTCTGGGGATGGGGTGGATGTGGGGTGGAGGGGATCAATGGGGGTAAAGGGGACATGTAATATTTTCAACAATAAAGATAAAAAGAAAGCCTCATTTTACTTAATAATGGCCCCAAAGTGCAAGAGTAGGGATATTGGCAGTTTGGATATGCCAAAGAGGAAGCCATAAGTGTATGTATAGAAAAAAACATAGTATATGTGGGGTTCACTACTGTCCCCAGTTTCAGGCATCCACTGGGGGTCTTGGAATATATTCCCCACAGATATGGGGGAACTAGTGTAGTGTCTTAAGTTGAATTTGGCATGTGCCATATAAACAAGAACAAGAGTCACGTATCAGAGAGCCACAGAGACTTTCAGACACTAAGGTGCTAAACTAAGCTTGACCTATAGCCTCATACTGAATCTGAATCTTACAGGGAAAATTCTTGAATAGGTACATGATAGAGCTGATTACTCTTTTGTTTTACTAGGCTCATCTGGGAACAGGTGACCCTTATACACCGGGATTCCCTTCTTTCAATCACACTCAGTTTCCACCATCTCAGTCATCAGGATTGCCTAATATACCTGTCCAAACAATTTCCAGAGCCTCTGCAGAGAAACTGTTTAGGTAAGTTCTTATTCGAAAACTGTCTTGCAAGGTGAAGCTTTATGATTAGGGAGGAATAATTTGTTGATTTGATAAAATCTTAAAACAATTGGCTATAGTTTTTCACATTTGAGGGATGGGTAGCTATTAACTTGGTGTAGATAAAAATGAAATTTTCCATAAAGTGATATGAATAATAGATATTGGATTTATAAACTCAAGGAGTCCCTGTTCAGTTCACGCAGTGAATTCCTTATGTAATATTGCTGGCATAGCTTCTGCTTGAATACTTCCTGTGGTAAAGGACTTTGTTGCCTATGGCAACCCATTCAATTATTAATGATCTGTTGGAATTCCCGTAGAGCTGAAATCTTATTTCCTATAACACTTGTTAGTTCTGGATTTTCTTTTTAGCAATAGAACAATCTAATTTTTCTTGTCTATAGATTTAATATCCTCAGTTCTCATATCCCTAGTGTATCAGCATCCCTTTTGAAAAACAGAACCCCATCTGATTAGAGGACATGTCATTAATTTTTATCTTGATCTGGACATATTTCCTACCTGGTATTGGCATAGGATATAGATCCAATTTCAGACACTCATGGGAGCATTTATTTGCTATGTGACATAGAGCAAGATACTCTAACCCCACTGATGATGTTTCTTTGACTTAATTGGATAGCTAAAATATATTCTACCTAATAGGGTGATTGGTCTCAAAAGAAGAGCATCTACATGTAAGGACTTTGTAAAATACTATGCAACTATTAATAATACTAAGAGGCATTTGTAATAGGTGATTCTTATTGACTCATACCAAATTTAGAATCAGGAAAATTTTCCCACTAACCTGTGAAGCCAGCCCCCTAGTTTGTCCTTGTGTTGTGAAGGGTAATAATGTTTTGACATACAATTGATCCTTGAACAGTGCAGGGGGTGGGCTGCCAACCCTACCCCCTGCACAGTTGAAAATCCTTGTATAAATTTTTTTTTTAATGTATCTTTATTGATTTCAGAGAGAGGAAAGGAGAGGGAGAGAGAGATAGAAACATCAATGATGAGAGAGAGTCATTGATGGAGCCCGCAACCCGGGCATGTGCCCTGACCAGGAATCGAACCCCGATCGCCTGGATCCCAGGTCGACGCTCAACCGCTGAGCCACGCCCGGCTGGGCCCATGTATAAATTTTGACTCTCCAAAAACTTAACTTCTAATGGCCTGCTCTTGATCAATAATATCAACAGCTGATTAACATAATCTGTTATATGTATATGTATTTGTATATTATACACTATATTCTTACAGTAAAGCTAGAAAAAAGTGTTAAAAGAATCATAAGGAAGAGAGAATACATTTATAGTAATGTACATATACACAAATTTTTTTCAATAAATAAGTTCAAACTGCTGTGCAAGGGTCAACTGTATTTATGTAAGTAAGCCCCTTTAGAGTAGTCATTGTTTTAATATTAATGACAATATTCTTTTATAACTGAGATAAGCCTGCATACATACTACCCTTGCTAGTGGAGAGAGTTAGAAACATGGGAATATATTAATGGGCTTTTATAGAACTTCATTCTGAGTCCCCCTTGGTATCAATTTTAAATGTAAACTGTAACTGTCTGGCATGAAGGCACACATCAGAAGAAGGTAAGGACATTTTTTAAAAAATTGCTTAAACAAAGGAAGTAAGTCATGGCTTTGAAGGGACTGCCTGTAGATGAGAATAGACAATGCCACTAGGGGTCCATTTTGTATGTTCCCTTCATGTCCTCTCACCCTCGCCTCTGCAGGACAGCCAGGAGGACTGATTTCATAAACCTGGGGTAAGCCACAGTAACTCAGTGCTGATTTGTTTTTTACTTCTAGAAATATGGAAGGAGACTGTCCCTCTTCTTGGAAAATAGATGCTTCGTGTAAGCTGGCAACCTCAGTGAATAAGAGTGTGAAACTCACTGTGAACAATGTGCTGAAAGAGACAAGAATTTTAAATGTCTTTGGTGTTATTAAAGGCTTTGAAGAACCAGGTAAAGAACCTTGGTTTTCATTTCTCTATTGCTCTACTTAGGTATTTCTGTTTTTCTCCTTCGTGTTAAGCATGTGGCCAGAGGAGGGAGTGTAGGAAGGCTGGCTTGGCTTTGTGTGAAATGCTAAGTCTTGTCCATCCTAAAGTGAATTGTTTAGGCGTCAGTTCCAGTGGGAGCTAATAAGGTCCTAGGAAAGTAACTTGTCAAAAACTTTAAAAAATACACCTCACCATTATGACTAGGAAATTGTTTTCAATTATTGAGTAGACCAGTGGTAAGCAAATATCTACTTAAGGGGGCAGATAATAAACATTTTACAGGCCATATAGTCTCTGTTGCAACCATTTAACTCTGGTATATAACATGAAAACAGCTATAGACAATACATAATGATCTCCTGGATCATGGATTGATGCTCAACCACTGAGCCACGCTGGCCTGGCGGGCCATCTGTCTGTTTAAATGCAGTCAAATAGTCATATCATTTAGTATGGAAAGCCCTTGGGCTTCATTTGCTTATTAAACAGTGAGCACAAATAGATGGCTGATGAGTGAACTTAATTGGTAATGTAGAGAAAGAGGAGCAACACTAATAAGGAAAAAGATTAGTATTGTCATATGAATTTTTAATCCCCGAAGTCTTAAGGCTCTGTTACCCTTAATGCATATACTTTATTTTTACCTTGCTATGTATGAATGTGCTTATTCTAGACTTGGAAAACAGTTTAAGAGCTCATTGTATAATTTTTTTTTTTTAAGATCGCTATGTTGTAGTAGGGGCGCAGAGGGATGCCTGGGGTCCTGGAGTTGTAAAATCCACTGTGGGAACAGCTCTTCTATTGGAACTTGCCCAGATATTCTCTGATATGGTCTTAAAAGGTAGAGTGCAAATTTTGAGAACTTTGAATATCTATGTGTGCTACATATAGTTTTAAATGTTATAATGTGCTTTGCTCACTTTTGCCTTTGTCACTCCTTCTAAACCCTGAGTTCTTAAGTATAAAGAAGATTGCCTTTTGTTATATCTGCCTTTGACTTTTCAAAATAAAGTATAGTTGACATACAATATTAATTTCGGGTGTTCAACATAGTGAATTGACATTTTATATACTTTATGAAGTGAGTACCATAAGCGTAGTAACCATCTGTTACCATACAAAGTTATTACAATATCATTGACTATATTCTGTGTGCTGTACATTATATCTCTGCCTTTGACTTTGAAAACAGCTTTCCATGCAGTGTCTTCATTGTACTGGGAATCATCAGTTTCTCTTGAGACACTGGAAAATGTTACATTTGGCCCTAATTCTGAGTTTGACATACCCAGAATGATACGGCAAATCTAACATGGCCCCTAAGGAATCTATTTGAAAGCAAGCAGTGGCATACCTCTGTACTAATGTTCTATAGTTTTATTATAAAATTAAGTATAATTTGATATACTTATACATTTAAGAATATATTTGTATATTATAAACATAATATGTAAAGGCTTATTTTGAAGCCTTTCTCCCATGTATTTGCCACTCCTCTACACCTGCCCACACACACATGCAAACCTTCATCACATTCTTGAATCTTTGGATCATAGGGTAAGTTGCAGTGTTTAACTTTCATACCAAAAAGTACATTACTGCAGAAAGGGAAAGGGAAGGGATAGAGAGCAGTGGTACATATAGCCCTCAAAGGAACTGTCACTGTTATAATTCTCTGAAAACTCTGCCCTATAACTTGTGAATTTGTGAATTTTACAATATCATAGACTAGCAAATGGGGTTGGTTTGTTTGTTTGTATTTTAAATATTTCTTTATTGACTTCAGATAGAGGAAGGGAGAGAGAGAGAGAGAAACATCAATGATGAGAGAGAGTCATTGATCGGCTGCCTCCTGCATGCCCCCTACTGGGGATCGAGCCCAAAACCCAGGCATGTGCCCTGGCTGGGAATCAAGCGCTATCTCTAGGATCCTAGATCAATACTCAACTGCTGAGCTACACCCAGCCAGGCTAAAGTAATCTAGTGTTTTAAGTGACTGACTTTTAAGCAAATTGTTCTCCAAGAAGATACATTGTGATTTCAAATATCTCTTGGTCCAGAAGTTAAGGGACCCAAAGAATGGAGTTGAAAAAGTGACTTTCAGTAAGCTGGTCCCTGCTGTGTACTTGAAATCTCATTTGTAAATGATTGCCTACTTTGTTCTTTCTAGATTACTTTTTTCAAATTTGTAAACATTTATTTTTATTGCATATAGTTGTCATACAATATTATATTAGTTTCAGTTGTGCAGCGTAGTGATTTGGCATTTATTTCCGTACAATATGATCATGCAGATCACTTTTAAAATTTGTTTTTACCTGGTGTCTCAAAAGGAAAAGAAATTTTTGAATCTGCTGTCTTGAATTAGAAGTTTCTGATTTTATCTTAAATCAGTTGCCTGCCTGTAACTTTTCCCAAGATAAAACTAATTTTTGTTGTCTTTCAGATGGGTTTAAACCTCGCAGAAGCATCGTCTTTGCCAGCTGGAGTGCTGGAGACTTCGGAGCTGTTGGTGCCACTGAGTGGCTAGAGGTATTAACTGTACCCAAAATGGCACCCAAACTTGTATTGCCTCAATTTGTCCTCCAGAAACCATGCTCTTATAGATTTGATCATATATCACTTTTGCCTCTGTATATTTAGTCTCAATAGAATCCAAATTTAAAAAGAAACCCCTAATAATAGTTATTCTATGTGATTAGATTAATACAGATTTTTTTTTTCTCCTCTTTTAGGGATACCTTTCCTCCTTGCATTTAAAGGCTTTCACTTACATTAATCTGGATAAAGCTGTTCTTAGTAAGTATCCTTTTTATTAGCTGCTTATGAATTTAGATAAACTACTTATAAAACAGCAGAAGGCTTTCTAAAGCAGCATTTGTTACTTTTTACAATTTACATTGGCTGTATCCAGATCAAAAGATTGGCTTAGCTTTCTCTTAATAGTTCATTAAGTTATAAAATAGGCCCAGAGCCCTAGCAGGTTTGGCTCAGTGGTTAGAGCGTCAGCCCACGGACTGAAGGGTCCTGGGTTTGAGGACACGTACCTCATTTGCAGGCTCAATCTCCAGCCACAGTCGGGGCATGTGTAGGAGGCAACCAATCAGTGTGTCACGTCGATGTTTTTCTCTCCCCCGTTCCACTCTCTCTGAAAAGTAATGGAAAAAATATCCTCAGGTTAGAATTAAATAAATAAAATAAAATGGGTGCAGCTGGCCTTGTCTAGAGCAATGGTTCTCACTGTGGTCCCCAGATCAGTGGCATCAAGATCACCTGGGAACTGTTAGATAAGAAAAAATTTCAGGCCCTGTCCCAGAGCTTTGAGTCAGAAACGAGAGCGTAGGTCCAGCAAACTGGTTTAACAAGCATTCCAGGTGATTCTGATGCACTAAATTTTCAGAACTACTATATTTTAAACCAGAAGGAATTAAACCATGCCATGTAAAATGGTAATTCTAGAGACTAGTTCACATATTGCTAGATTGTAGCTTCATCGAGAGAGATACCAATTAAAAGAGTTTGAGTGTTATTAAAAGTGCAGATGTAGCCAATGGATGAACAAAGAATCATGAAATGTCTTCATTGGGGGAAAAAGGAGGAAGTTACAATTAAAATCTTATTAGATTTGTCATTCCCATTTTACTTATGCAGCAGAATGGATTATATATAGCAAGCTTACTGTAACTAGCAGATTACTGCCTTACTGCCTTAACATGGATGAACCAAATAGGTACTGAAAAACCAAATCATTAATATTAAAGTATGCAAACTCAAGTAGTAAGAGCTTCAATTGAGTCAAATTAAGGTTAGCAGTCACTAAAGAACTTTGATTTCTAGATCATTTTTATCTACTTCATTAAAGAGGATAGTTGTATGTGCCACTGATCTAGTTTATTGTCCTCCTGTCTTCCTGTTTGCCAAGTACTTGTAGTTGTAGAAGTAGCAGTGTGAAAATTGCTTGACTAGAGAAGGCACAATGTTAAAATAATCTCTTTGCAGGTAATGGCACTTTCAAGGTTTCTGCCAGCCCACTGTTGTATTCACTTATTGAGAAAACAATGAAAGATGTAAGTGCATACCTAATTACGAAAATGTATAATTTTTTGCCTAATTCACGTAAGGTGAAAAACATTGATATTTAAACTGTTATAAGTAACCAATAACAGGAATTTATAGTAAATTTTGTAGCAGCATTATTTCAGTCCTACTCTTGGCTTATTTGTCCCCAGCCTATTGAACCATGTGAGGTGACGGAGGGGGTTTATGAAGGGCTTTGATCAAACAATGTGTAGTCTGTTTAGGAATATGTAGCGGAATTCCGTGAGGCCTAAGCTGTACTGTAGGTGCCTGCAGAGGGTTGTCTGTAGATACAGTCAGGATGTTATGGAAGGTTTTAAATGGACTTAACCTATCCCCAAGACTTAAGGCCAGATTAAATATTTATTGAATAAAGACAGACATGGGAGTGACCATAGTTTTGAATGTGCGAGGAATCAGATTTGCCTAATAGGATTAGAGGCTATAGATTGGAGTGATTAAAGTTGTTAGGGATCAAGGATGAGGGAACTTGACCTTGATTTCATGGGAAACTAGGAATTACAATAGGTTTTCCAATAAGGCAGTAATGTGTTTGCAGGTTAGCTTAGCAGTACTATAAAATGTGCTAGAAGGAAGAAATCAGAAATGAGATAGGCATATCATGAAGGCTAGGAGAGGACTTTTAAAACTGGTTAAACCACTTTTAACATGTTACGTAGGAAAACATTTTTTCTCACCTTAAACTAAAGGAACTAACAGCATGAGCTTAGTAGGAATAACTTCAGAAATTTGAGACTTTTGTCTTTAAAAACTTTTTTCAAGGAGATATAATAAAATTTTAATATTTTTATAAGTGTTTATAAAAGAAATGTTTCAAAAAGGTTTGTTTTAATGATAAATTAATTTCTTATTTTACAGGTGAAACATCCAGTTAATGGGTTGCCTCTATATAGGGATAGCAACTGGATCAACAATGCGTAAGTTGAGAAAAATGATCACCTGATAGGAAAACAATCATGCAGTAGCACCTACTGTGTTAGGTAGACATCTAAACGTAACCTTGCAGTGAGCTTACCTAGACCTAAAGAGATTTATTTTAAGACCTTATTTGGGGGCCTGGCCGGTGTGGCTCGGGTTGAGCTTCCACCCAGGAACCAAGAGGTCATTGATTCAATTCCTAGTGAGGGCGCATGCCTGGGGTCAGGTCTCATGCCCAGGCTGTGGGCTCCATCCCCAGTAGGGGGTGTGTGCAGGAGGCAGCCGATTTATGTTTCTATCTCTATCCCCCTCTCTCTAAAAATCACAAAGATATTTTTTAAAAAAAAAGACCTCATTAGGTGCTAGGAGTAAAGTTACATGGTAGCATAGTCTGTTCTTTAGAAAACTTTCTAAAAAACACATCCTTCCCTTGCAGTGAGAAGCTTTCTTTTGATAATGCTGCTTTCCCTTTCCTGGCGTATTCTGGAATCCCAGCAGTTTCTTTCTGTTTTTGTGAGGTAAGTTTGAAGAACTCTAAAGCATTATATCTTGGATCTTCTTCCATCAATTTTGAGACCAAGTTTCTTAGAGTACTTAAAATGTTTTAAGAAGCATGCTACCTTATGATCAGTTTAAAAATAGAATTATTGTCTCAATTAGCTTAAGTAGCGTTTGATTTTATTTGCTAAAACTTCAATTAAGTAAGATCAGTTAATAGGCTACCTATTGGGCAGTGGAAGGATAGAATATTTCCACCGAAGTTCCACTGAACAATGCTGTTCCTCATACCTCTTAAAATATGGTTCTAGGTATTTGTCCTTAAGTAGGAATCATGTGTATAAGAAGAAACCAGGCAGCTGTAAGACTGATGTGAGACAGAACTTTGAACTGACCAAGCTGCAGGAAAACAAAATTGGCTTGGTACAGGAGCCAGTTAGAAGGCACTGAAAGACAGGCAGAGTAAAGACAGGCAGAACGATGAGGACTTCTGTGCTGAAGGGCTCGAGTTGGAAAGCCAGCTCAAGTTGGAAAACAGGATCTGAGCATGAGAGAACCTAGAAGTAGTATAGGGGATAAGGGTGGAAGCTGTTGACTCTGGCATCAAATTGTTGATCCACTAGAGGCTGGGTCTTTACTAGGTTTCTCATCACTCTGTTTTAGCCTTGGACTAGGAGGGGAAGGGTTTGAAATGAGGGAGTGATGAGAGATCTGGATTTGGAGAGTAAAACAGGTAGAATTCCCTTGACCTGCTAGAGTAGCAGAATGAATTGCATTGAAATAGCTGGTCATGATGTTTTAGTACATTAGGAAGAGCTAGGTGTCATTGCCTGTGGTTGAGGAAATTTATGGGTGATTCCTGTTACCTTCAGAAGTCATGTTTTTTATAAGCTTCTTAATGACTTCTTAGATGTCAAAACCTAGCAGTACTGGTTTAGAGCTACAGATAATACAGAAAAGTTCAGTCTGAAAGTAAAGAATTGAAGTCAGACCAAAGGATTATCAATGAGATTGTCACTGTGGACAGTGGTAGGTCCTAGAGCAAGAAATATTTACTAAGAGTTGTTTAGTGAAGGTAGAAGTTCTTGTGAGTATCAAGCATTCTTGTCAGAAAGGTAAAGTATGAATGGATCAAGTGCAGCATGATTAAGAAGGAAATTTTAGTTTAAGAGTAGTAACACTTTATATTGAAAGTACATTCCACGAATGCTCATTAAAATGGGCAAAACTTCCAGAGAGAAGATAACAAGGGTATAACTGAAGGAATTTGACCAGAGATCTGTTCTGGGTATCTGTTCCTTGTAATACAGCAGGGATTCTGTGGAACCTAAAGTAGTCATTCTTGGAGTAGGTTAGGTTCAAAGAAAGTAACAAAAGTGGTATCTTCTTAAAGTAGTGGATAAGAGAAAAATGGGGTTAGGAATATATTAGAAGCAAGGGAAGAATGCGGTTACTCTTACATTGATGGTGTAACTGGAATGTGAGGCACCTACTCTTCTAACCCACCTGAGCACATTACTCTCCCTTTGCTTTCCAGGACTTAGATTATCCCTACTTAGGTACTACCCAGGATACCTATGAGACACTGATGCAGCAGGTCCGTGAGCTGAAAAAAATGGCCCGTGCAGCAGCAGAAGTGGCTGGTCACTTAATGATCAAACTTACCCATGATGTTGAGTTGAACCTGAACTATGAGGCATACAACGAGAAAATGCTTCTTTTCGTGAGGGATATGAACCAGTTCAGAACAGACATAAAGGTGAGCGCTAATTAAAATCAGGTTCTTATTGCTGTAGTATTAAGCAGGTTGAACAATGATGTTTAGCTGTTCCTGGGGAGGGACATGATTGGTAACCAAAAAACATTTTAAAGTGAACTGAGGTATCATTTTGCTTTGAATCCACAACTCATTTGAAGGGAAATCAGGAGGCTATAGGTCATAGATTAGGATAGAATAGACCACGGTCAGTATTTTAGAATCTAGAACTGTGTTTTCTATGTTCATGTATTCCAAGCAACCCATAAAGAGCTAGGACCCAGAGACTCAACTATGACTTTGAACCTATGAGTTTTAGACATATATGCCTTTGGAGATGACATTAGTGTTCATCCTGTGTGGTAGTCAAACATTTGATAAAATCAAAAGTGGTTTCCAGCTGATAACCAAATTTTAATTATTATGGCTTTCTATTTATTTTAATTTTTTAAAAATTTCTCTAGAGGGAGAGAGAAACATCGATTTTGTTGTTCCACTTGTCTAGGCATTCATTGATTGATTCTTGTATGTGCCCTGACGGAAGATTTAACCTGCAACCCTGGTGTATCGGGATGACTAACCATCTGAGCTATCCAGCCAAGGCTTATTATGGCTTTCTAGTAACAAATTGTAACTGACCAGAAAATGGGACTTAACCAGATGGAAATAACTAGATTCTGAAGTTTGTTGATCTCAACTGCTTCATGTAGGGAAATTGAACTGGAAACTATATACTACACAGGATAACTTGGACTAAGGAGATTGTGTTAAATTTTTTGATGAGGATGTTTTTCTTACGAGACTAAGAGTAGTACTTGTACTATATGCTGGGCTTAAATATGAGTGTATTGCTATAGTTTATAGAGCTTGTAACCTCCTGTTCAGGTGCTTTAGTCTAGCTTTCTCTGGATCTTGCACTTGTGTCTGAGCGATCCCCTTTTATCAGAATCCCACTTGCTACACCTAAATTAGAAAGGTATATAGACTAACATCTTTAGAAATATAACATCTAATAGTGAATGTAATTTCTTTTTTTGCTTCAGGAGATGGGTCTGAATCTACAGTGGCTATATTCTGCTCGTGGAGACTTTTTTCGTGCTACTTCCAAACTAACAACAGATTATAAGAATGCAGAGAGAACGGACAGATTTGTCATGAGGGAAATCAATGACCGTATCATGAAAGTAAGTAACCTGAGAAAAGGAGGGACTAAAATATGTTAAATTTTAGTTGGTAAATCTTGCATTTCTAAAAAGGATAACTCCAGGACATAAAATCCTTTGCCGCTTTAGAATTCACAGGTTTTAACTCTTACAAGATCTAAAAGCAACATCAAAATTGGAAATACAAGAGACATTTGGCCTAGTACTAATTTTATTAAGCTTTAAAAACATTTTGAAGAAGAGATTAATTATTTTTAGCTGTCATTTTCTCTGTATTTCTGTTTTCTAATCCACCGCTTAGTCTGCTTGGAAAAAGATTCTGTTACAGCAGAAATTTGTAAACCTTTCATGTGTGTGCTCAACAACAACAACAAAAAGAGTTCACCTTTACAAAGGAATTGACATTTGGCTTTACAATTTTAACATTAGAAGATTAGTAGCCTGGTTCTCAGCATTCTTAAATTCAGGGAAATTTTTACCTTTGAAGTGGGAGAATGACAGATACCAGGTCTTTTCCTCACAACAAAACTCATAACTGTAAGCGCTCTTGTGTGCTTTGTTTTTTTAGGTGGAACATCACTTCCTCTCACCCTATGTATCACCAAAAGATGCTCCTTTCCGACATATCTTCTGGGGCTCTGGCTCTCACACTCTGTCAGCTTTACTGGAGCACTTAAAGCTGCGTCGGAAAAATAACAATGCTTTTAATGAAACACTGTTCAAGAACCAGCTGGCTTTAGCAACTTGGACTATTCAGGGAGCTGCAAATGCCCTCTCTGGTGACATTTGGGACATTGACAATGACTTTTAAATGCGATACCCATAACTTAGGGTACGTGGCTTGTGCTGGTTGTGCTAAATTTTCAGTAGGGCTATAAAACCTAATATTGTTAAAGTTCGACCCAATCATCCTGGTACTACTAGATGTCTTTAGGCAGCAGCTTTTAATACAGGGTAGGTACCTGTACTTCAAGTTAAAGTGAGTAACCACTTAAAAATGTTCGCAATAGAACATAATGGTAACTGCCTCTTTTCTGTTACATTTATAAAAAAGTCAGAACCAGTTATGTGAACTATTGCTCTAAATCCTAAGGACATGAACACTGGTATCTTTTGAGTGGGGAAGGAAGGTGATATCTGCTGAAGGTTAAAAGTGGTAGCTTAGTGGGATTCTCCATCTTCATCTGATGCTGGGTAACAGATACCAGGTTGTAAGAGCTTATCCTCCCAGTGAGCTCTATGCCTTCTTTAAGGATTTAGCTGGTTTCCACATCCCTGAGTGAAACAGTTAACTTTCAGAAGAGATGGGACTTGCTTTCTTTCCAGTGAGATCTGAAGTAGAGGCCCTTTGGCTGGATAAAATAAGGTTCAGCTGTTTATCACAGGAACAAGGCCTTAATGTGTTAACCTTCAAGATCATTTATCAAGAGAGAGGAGACCAGAAGCCAAAGACCTAGTATATTTTCTTTCCCTCTGTCCCCTCCCCCATAAGCCTTTGTTTAGTTGTTTGTTGTTTTTCCCCAAGATATTTTGAAAGAGAACCAGTTTTAGGTGTTTAATTTCAAACTCAGTTTGTCAGACTTTAAAGATTACATACTGCCAAATTTTGGTAAAAGTGTTAATTTTTTTGGAAAAAGCTTTCTATCATTTTGGCTCTGAGATATTTATTGTTTATTTATCAGTGACAGAGTTCACTATAAATGGTGTTGTTTTTTTTATAGAAGATAATTATCGGAAGCAGTGCCTTCCATAATTATGACAGTTATACTGTCGTGTTTTTTTTTTTTTAAATAAAAGCAGCATCTGCTAATAAAACCCAACAGATACTGGAAGTTTTGCATTTATAATGGTCAATACTTGTTTTAGAAAACAAGGTTTTAGAAAATAGCCTCAAATAAAAATTTAAAGCTAATTATTAGAGAAGAATTAAATTTAATTAGGGGTTGCTAATCAAGTTAGACTTTTATTTAGCCAGGTAGATAAAAATGGTAGTTTTCCTAAATGCAATGAGTTGTGACCACACTATAAATTAATGTCACTTAAGGCAGCAATAGTGTTCATATGCAAAATTTTATAGCTCAATTCATCCAAGGTGTAACTGTAATTCAAATTTTGCAAAATTTCCAGTACCTTTGTCACAACCCTAACTCACATTATCGGGAGCAGTGTCTTCCATAATGCATAAAGAACAAGGTAGTTTTTGCCTACCACAGTGTCTATATCGGAGGCAGTGATCTCCATATGTTACACTAAGGGTGTACGTAATTATCGGGGACAGTGTTTCCCATAATTTTCTTCATGCAATGACATCTTCAAAGCTTGAAGATCGTTAGTATCTAACATGTATTTCTAGCTCCCTATAATTCTCTATCTTTTAGTTTTAGTTGCAGAAACATTTTGTGGTCATTAAACATTTGCTGGGTAAATTCAACCATGGTAAAATAGTATTACTTCCTTCAAGATTCTTTTTGTTGATTCAAAGGTTATTTTTAAACCTGATGTGGTGTTTTGTTATATTTGTGGTTTCTCTGGGTCTTCTGTTTAGCAGAATAGTAGCATACATTTATAATGTTTGCTATTGACAAATGAATTTAACTTCATCCCCTATATGCATGTTATCTCCTATAACCTTAGTTCATACAAGTTTGAATCCAGAACTGACCTTTTAGCTTAAAGCAGGAGAAACCCGTATAGGAGGTCTGGGGGGAGGGGGAGTGAGGAGTGTGGGGAGCCGAAGCTTGCAAAAGGATTTTTGGTCATGCCTACCTACCTACCTATTAGTACATGGTGGTCATGAGTTAAATGTAGATGCAAACAAATAAGTGTGAGACTACATGAGTAAAGACTTTGTTTTCTACTCAACCCGATGATAATCAGCTGTTTGTTATAGGGCAGTTCAATACTGTCACCTAAGACTGTCCATAGGATCTCTTAAGGTTCTTTGAACTTGGTGTCACCTAAGTTAAAATAGATCTAGATTATTACAACCTCACTGAATTGTTTCACTACTCAGTCTATTTAGTCTTCCTAGTGTTTTATCTTGGACGAATTTTAGTGTAGCTAAGTAAAAAGGTCATTGCTGGGATTCCTGGTTTGAGTATCATGCTTTATCATACTTTAATAAAAGCTCAGTGACTTCAAGGCATAATGAATAATGGGCATACATTTCACAGCAGTAAATCTCTTTAAAAACCTCTTTTCTATGGTTAAGGTTGAGTTATTTCCAATCAAATAAGTAGTAAGAAACTTAATATTCCTGAATGAAATGTGTATTTGACAAGTGACAACCTGCTGATCTTCATATTTTTTGTTTATAAATATGATGTACATTTTAAAGGTAAAGGATAGAATGAGTGAGCTCTGTCAATTCACTGTTCTAGAACTTGCATGACCTTTACTATGTTTCCTCTTTGAATGTTCTTGAAATTTTACTTGGTTAAAGATGGCTTATTAATTAAACTTCTCAACCTACTGCTCAGCTATATCTTTGTAAACAAGTGATATGCCCTTATAATTGTACACAAGCTGGTATGTGCAACAATGTGGAGATTCCTTATCTGATTTAATAAAATGCTTGAACACTGAGATAGCCTTTCTTAAAATATTTTTTTAAGAGCAGTTTTAGATTTACAGCAAAATGGTGTAGAAAGTACAGAGAATTCCCATCTACTTCCTGCCTGGGCACCCAGCTCCCCCTTTCAACATCTCCCACCAGAGGAGTACATTTGTTACAATCGGTGAACCTGCAATGACACATCCTTAGTGCCCAAAGACCATAGGTTACATTAATACTCACTTCTGTACATCCTACGGGCCTGGACAAGTGTATGCTGGCCTTTGCGCCATCACCGTACATTAGAGAATAGTTTTGCTGCCCTGGAAATCCTCTGTGCTCTGCCTCTTCGCCCTCCCTCCCTGTTAACCTGGTCAGACACTGACCTCACTGTCTCCATAGTTTGCCTTTTCCATAAGTCATGTAGTTGGAATCACACAGTAGGCAGCCTTTTCAGAAGGGCTTCTTTCACAGTAATAAGTACTTAAGGTTCCTCTAGGTCTTCATGGCTTGATAGCTCATATTTTTAGTGCTGAATAATATTCCATTGTTTTGATGTAGCAGTTTATCCATTCACCTATTGAAGGATATCTTTGCTTCTAAATTTTGGCAATTACAAATAAAGCTGCTATAAACATACATGTATAGGTTTATATGTAGGTATATATTTTCAGTTCATTTGGGTAAATACTAAGGAATGCAATTGCTGGGCCATGTGCTTAAGAGCAGTTTAGTTTTGTAAGAAACTGCCAAACTCCCAAAGTGGTTGTGTCATTTTACATTCCCACTAGCGATGAAAGTTCTTTTTGCTCCATATCCTTGTCAGCATTTGGTGGCGTCAGTGTTTTGGACTTTGGCCATTCTAATAGCTTTGTAGTAGTGTCTTTTAATTTACATTTCTTTGGTATAATGTTGAACATCTTTTCATAATGCTTATTTACTAAGTGTGTATCTTTGGTGAGGTGTACAGATCTTTTGCCCCCTATTTTTGTCTTTTTTTTTTTTTTAGAAGATTTTTTTTTAAATCCTCGCCCAAGGATATTTTCCATTGCTTTTTCATGGAGTGGAAGAGAGAGAGGCATTAGTGTGAGAGAGATACATTGGTTGGTTGTCTCCCACATGCTCCCCAACCCGGCTGGGGATCGAGCCTGCAACCGAGGTACATGCTCTTGGCTGTAATCAAACCCCGGACCCTTCAGTCCTCAGGCTGAAGCTCTAACCACTGAGCCAAACCGGCCAGGGCCAGGATGCCCACTTTTGCCACATCTGTTCACTATAGTACTGTGAGTTCTCACCAGATCAATTAGGCAAGAAAAAGAAGCAAGGGGGCCCAGCCAGGCGTGGCTCAGTGGTTGAGCATTGGGCTAGGATCCAGGAGATCGCGGTTCCATTCCCTGGTCAGACACATGCCTACATGCTGGAGGCAGCCGGTCAATGACAACTCCCTCATCATTGATGTTTCCATCTCTCCCTCCTCTTTCTGAAATCAGTAAAGATATATTTATTTAAAAAAAGCAAAAGGCACCAAATTGAAAAGAAGTAAAGGTATTGGTCACATGGGTCTTACATGTAGAAAACTAAAGAAGTCACATAAAAACAAAGCAAAGCTACAAGATACAAAGCCAACACAAAAATCAATTGCACTTCTATACACTAGCAATGACCAATCTGACAGGAAATTAACAATTCCATTTAAAATAGCGTCAACAAAATACTCAGGAATAAATTTAATCATGGAGGCTAAACATTTGTGCACTGAAAAATAAAAAATAAATGGAAAGGCACCCTGTGTTTATGAATTAAAAGATTTAATTGTTAAGATAATACTATCCAAAGCTATCTACAGATCCCAAGCAATTACTATGAAAATCCTAATAGTGCCCTTGCTGGTGTGGCTCAGTTCGTTGAGCTTCATGCCACGCACCAAAAACGTTGCCAGTTCAATTCCTGATCAGGGCACATGCCCAGGTTTTGGATTCAGTCCCATTTGGGTGCATGGGGGAGGCTACCAATCAATATTTCTCCACCCCCTTTCAACCACTGAACCACACGATTTTTTATGAGGGTGCTCAGAGTATTCAATAAGGAAAGAACAGTCTTCAGTAAATGGTGCTGGGAAAACTGTATAATGCACATGCAAAATTAATTAATGTAGACCCTTGCCTTCCACCATATACAAAAGTTAACTAAAAATTGACAAAATGCTTAAACTTAAGAGCTCAAACCATAAAACTCTCAGAAGAAAACAAGGAAAATCATGACATTGGGTTTGGCAATGATTTGAAAGACACCAAAAACAGAAAATAAAAAATAGATAAATTGGACTTTAAAAAAATAAAAGATTTTGTACATGAGAGTGAGAAGACAACTTACAGAATAGAAGAAAATATTTGTAAATCTATTTGATAATATCCAGAATATATAAAGAACAAAAATAACCCAATTTAAAAATGGGCAAAGGACTTGAATAGATATTTCTCCAAAGATATACCAATGGCTAATAATCACATGAAAAGATGTTCAACATCTTCAGTCATTAAAGAAATGCATCAAAAAAGAAATGCATTAAGACCACCATGAGAAACCATTTCACACACTTTACACTTCATAAGTTATGGTTGTCATTTTTTTATAAAAGGAAAATAAGTGTTGGCAAGGATGTGGAGAAACGGAAACCCTTATGCATGTAAAATGCCACAGCCGCCACGGGAGGTGCAAAGTCAGCCTGTGCCAGTGCCTTGCCCAGGGCCCCCCAGCATGAGCTACACAGCAAACTGTAGTTGGCTGCTACTTGTGCTGGGCTTGGAGGTGTCCAGGAGAGGCCAAGCTATGAGCCAGTGCAGGCTGCCGCTAGTGCTGGCCTGGGGCCGCTTATCAAGCCATATGGGGCCTGCTGCTGCTTGTTTGAGAGATTTTAGGAAAGTCCTAAGCATGAGGCTCGAGAGGCCACTTGCACAGAAAAGCCCCTGGAAATGGCCTGGATGAGCTGCAGGTGGGGAGGGGCGGGGCCTCCGGGAACATGGGGCGGGGCCAAAGGTGCGAGTCAGGTGCTGGCGATTCAAATACGGCGCCTGCCTGCTGTGTGCAGAGAGGACTCGCCAAAGGAGCGATGGCCTCTGCCAGCTCTTCTGCCTGGGAGGAAGCTGCACCCCACCACCTCTCGTCCCAATTTCAGGCAGGTTAGTTCCTCCCCAAGTGTCCCATGTTCCTTTCAAGCTGCTGCCCGGCGCTGGGCTCAGAGGGAGCGCGTCTGAGTGAGTCCGTGCGTGGGCCCTTTAAGAGGAGAGCCTGGGACTCCTGCAGCCTCCGTGACCCTCAGGGACAGTCCCCGCTGGTTTCACAGCCCAGAGTTGTGGGGACGTCTCTTCCCAGCCCTGGAGCCCTGGGCTGGGGGCCCGCTATGGGGCTGGGACCCCTCACTCCTCCGGGAAACCCTCGCTGCCACCAAGATTCCCTCCGGGGTTTCAACCTCGGCACTGGGTGTGGGCCCGCTGCCGGTCTCTACGATTCAGCCCAGCCCCGCCCGTGTTTCCACCCCTCCTACCGGTCTCAGTCCTTCTCCAGTTCCCTGGTTGTAGGGCTTCTGTGCAGCCAGATTTCAGGAGGCTCTGAGTGATGGTTCTGTATTTTAGCTGTAATTTTGATGTGGTTGCTGGAGGCGGCGGATGCAGCTGCTACCTACGCTGCCATCTCGTTTCCTCCTTCATAGGCCTAAATTTTTGTACCTTATACATTATACAGATATTCCATACCTATTTTTTTTATCAGTCCCTTTTAAGGAACATCTAAGCTAATTCTACTATTTTGCTACTGCATATTATATTTAATTGAGCATCTATCTATCTATCTATCTATCATCTATCTATCTATCTATCATCTATCTATCATCTATCTTTGTTCTTAAACAGAGGATGTATCTGTAGGATAAATACTTAGTATGAGCCTCCCTGGGATCGTCGTCATCTGAGTAGAAGGAGGAAAGAACAGTCAGCTAAGGATGTCCTGTGTCTATACTACAAATGCAGAGATTTAAACAGAGAAGGAGAGAGGAATAGCAGGAAAGTACAAATGTGAAAAAATTACCTCACCGCTGAATGGTAAGCCCTGACTGCTTCTCATTTCTAAACTCAATACAGTGAGTTCCTGGGGAAGCTCGATTTCATAGATGTAAAGGAGTAGGTGAGAAAAAAGAGCCAACCCTTCAGATGTTTAGTCTTCTCTCCCCCAGTGGCAGTTTCTTGATTGTGCATATTTGGCCACGTCTTAAATGATTGTGCTTGGCGCTGCCTGGACTCAGGATAGATGAGTACCCGTACCCGCTGGTCCATTTATCAGTTACCAACTTCAACTCTAGGTGTCCGCCAGGGGGAGTCAGAACCCAGGACTGTGGCGTTTCTTTCCGAGTAGCCCGCTCTCATCCAGCGTTTGTAATCTCGGCTCGGCTGGCCCTTTCTCTCTAGCTGGGCGGGGAGGGCAGACGCGTGAGAGCAGCTGGCAGCGCCTCCTTCCAATGCCCGGGTAAGGTTTTGAAACTGTCTGAATCGCTTGGGGGCATGTGAAACTGGTCCCCAAAGCAGCACAGGGGAATTCTAAATTGAGAGATAGGGTGAAGGCACAGTCTGTTCTTGGTCCTGGGAAAACACAGCCTGGGTTAGCAAATAGCCTCATGCCAAAAAATTCCTTCAGTGATCCCTCCCTTCACTTCCACTAAGAGGCAAATGGTCCCTTCCTAAGAAATCTTTTGCCCTTTGTCAAATCAGAGTGTCTGCTCAGATACCAGTCCTGATCCCACAGCTCACTTCTCTCCCACCTCAGCTCAGGCATTGGGGGACACTAGGGAACCAAGTACCTGCCATTTCTAGTTGTACATTGGAATCACTTGGGGAGCTTTTAAAAACTATGGATGTTGAGCCCCACCTCAGAGATTCCAATTTAATTGTTCCGGGGTGGGGCCTGGGCATCAGTGTTTTTAAGTGTCCCATGTGATTCTTATGCGCAGCATTATTGAGAATCTCTAGGTCCACGGGCTTGC